GGTATTATGTTCAGTGAAATAAGCCCAGCAGGGAGAGACAAGTAAAAAATGATTTCACTCACTGTGGAGCATAAGAACAAAGCAAAAACTGAAGGAACAATACTGCAGCAGACTCACAGATCCCAAGAATGGACTAACAGTTACCAAAGGAAATGGACTTGGAAGGATGACTGGGAGTGGAGGGATAATGGGGAAAAGGGGGCATTACAATTAGCACATAGATGTGAGGGTGGAGCACAGGGAAGGGAGTACAACACTGAGATGTCAAGTAGTGATTCTATAGCAGCCTACTACAACTGATGGTCAGTGACTGTATTGGGGTATCTGGTGGGGATTTGTCAATGTGGGGAGTCTAGTAAACATAATGTTGCTCATGTAATTGTACATTAATAATAACAAAATTTTTTAAAAGATTCAAATAAAATCATCTTTTAATTTCAAATATGAAAGATTTTAATCTATTAGTTTACCTCAATATTCATTCATGCTGCTTTTTTCCTGACATGTTTTATTCTTTCTCTGATATGTCTTTATTTCTGGAGAGATTCTCTTGTAGCCCACATTATAAAAATATCCTATCAATTTTATTTTCTTTTCTGCTAAATTCTTCCACAGATTCCAATAGAGAAGAAAATTTGTATGAATTGACCAATAGATACACAGAGAGAATTTGATAAATTTCAATATACTTTTTTGACAAAAACTCTTAGGACTTTAGAAATAAAAGAATACTACTAAACTTAATATGTGATATCTGTAACATTTACTAAAATATTGTCTACCAAAACTACAACCTATATAACATACAATGAACCACATTAGAAATATGCATGTAAGATCAGGAACAAAAATTTAAATTTTCTACTATCACATCGCTGCTACTACAATTAGGTAAAGATATGGTACATATACACAATTACAGGCCTCATCAACGTAAATGAAAAAGAAAAATGAATAGGAAATAAAAAGAATAGTAAGAGAAAAAATATGTTATATCTTTACTGACATTTTTAAGCCCTTTAGATTTACCAAAATGAGTTGAAATATGCACACACAAAAACCTGTATATTTTTAGCAGTGTGATTTATAATTACCAAAAATTGGCGTCAATCAAGATGTTCTTCAATAGGTGAATGGATAAATAAACAACCATATAATGGAAGATCATTCAGCAATTAAAAAGAGGTATCAAGCCATGAAAACAAGGAGGAAACACAAAGCCATAATATTAGTGAGAGAAGCCAATCAGAAAATAATACATACTGTATAATCCCAACTACACTGCATTCTGGAAAATGCAAAGGTGGATATGGTAAAAAGATCAATGGCTGCCACAGGTTGGGGGAGGAAAGGATAAACATGTCCAACACAGAGGATTTTTAGAGCAGTGAAACTACATGATACTATAATGGTGAATTATGACATTAATGCACAGCACAAAGAATGAAGCGTAATGTGAGCTATGGACTTTGGTAAGCATAATGTGTCACTGTTTTCTCATCAACTATAACAAATATCCCATAGAGGTACGGATCAGTAATGGGAAAGCTGTGCATGTGGGGATGAGGATATATGTGGGAAATATAGCTCCTGCTCAGTTTTTCTGTGACACTACAAGTGTTCTAAAAATAAAGTCTGTTAATATTTTTTTTAAAACAACAGGATTGATCATTTCAGGAACAAAGATGGAGGCATGAGAGGTGAGACAGTGGCTTCCTCTGAAAATCACATGTAATATAAAAATATAGTTAATACAACTAATCCTGAAAAAGAAACAGGAAAGAAGGCTGTGCCTGACTGCATACACCTGGAGAATAGAACAGACCTCATGGAACAGGGCAACATACCAAAGCCGTGATGTGATCTGGTAGGACAGAAGCCCTTACCCTACCCCAGCTCACCAGCAGGAGGAAGAGAAATGGAGGGGAGAGTGGGTGGAGGCCTAGGACTGCTGAACACCCAGCCCTGAATATCTGCACTGGGAGCACAAATATACACTGCATGGAGCTCTGGAGATTAGTGGGGTTAGAAACCTAAGACAGGTGGAATACTTGGAGGGACTGAGATTCCAGCCACTTGTGGAAGACAGGGATCCACATGTGGCTTTTCTGGGACAAAAGAAAGGTGGGCAGACTGAGAGACTTCCTAACAGCAAGAGGGGTGCTAAACAGACAAAGATGGTACAAAGCTTGCTGCTCAGGAGAAAGAACAGATAGACAAAATTGTCCAGGCATACTATGCCAAACAGGTTGGGAACTTTCAGGAGCTACAGGCACTCCATCCCCCTAACTGGCCACATAGCTCTGAGGCACCCCACCATGATATGCAGCATGCTCAGTGAAATAAGCCCGGCAGGGAAAGACAAGTACAAAATGATTTCACTCATCTGTGGAGCAAAAGAACAAAGCAAAAACTGAAGGAACAAAACAGCAGCAGACTCACAGATCCCAAGCAACAGATCCCGGCAACAGATCACAAACTGACAGGCTCTTCCCTGGTGTCAGGCCAGCCAGAGAGAGGCCCAACCTATGGCAGCTACAAACACAGAGCATAGAGGCTTACACCTGTGTGATCATCCCACTGGTACTGATGGTGGAGAGAGGCACAGCAGGTGGGAAGCATGAAACAGATCTTTCCTCCCCCCAGACACCAGGGACACTCCCCTGCAACCACCAACATTGCTCCAGGGACTGAGCAGCTACAGAGAGTAGAGCTTTGGAACAGTAGAGGGCCCCACAGACAACTATGAAATGTCAAAGGAACCAGGTTCAAACCAAAATCCCAAAAACACCAGAAAGAGGGCCAAGAGAAACTGAGCTCACCAATATACCAGTAAGAGATTTCAAATTAAAAATCATAAACTTGCTCATAGAGGTTCAGAAAAATATTCAAGAACTCAGAGACGAATTCAGGACTGAGATTCAATCATTAATGAATTCAATATCTGAAATGAAACACAATGGAGGGGTTTAAGAGGATTTGATATAGTAAAGGCGACAGCAAATGGAATAGAAATTAGAGATGAGGAATACAAAGAAGCTGAGGCACAGAGAGAAAAAACAATCTGGGAATGAAAGAATATTGAGAGAACTGTGTGATCAATCCAAAGAGAACAATATTCACATTATAGGAGTACCTGGAGAAGAAGAAGAGAGAAAAAGGGATAGCAAGTGTATTTGAGGAGGCAATTACTGAAAACTTCCCCAGTCTGGGGAAGGAGATAGTCTCAAAGGCCATGGAGGTGCACAGACCTTCCAATACAAGGGACCCAAGAAAAACAACACCAAGACATATAATAATTAAAATGGCAAATATCAAGGATAAGGACAGAGTATAAAAAGCAGACAGAGAGAAAAAATGATCACATACAAAGGAAAAAACAGGCCATCATCAGACTTCTGAACAGAAACCTTACAGGCCAGAAAGGATTGGCATGATACATTTAATACAATGAAACAGAAGGGCCTCAAATGAAGACTACTCTACCTAGCAAGATAATCATTTGAATTTAAAGGAGGAATTAAACAATTTTCAGATAAGCAAAAGCTGAGAGAACTTACCTCCCACAAACCACCTCTACAGTGTATTTTGAAGGGACTACTCTAGATGGAAGTGTCCCTAAGCCAAAATAGCTGTCATGAGAGTAAATACAATCATAGTAAAGAAAGTAGAACGATTACTAGGCAGATGCAAAATCAAATCAACTACCATGAAAGTGAGTCAAGGGATAGATAGAGTACAGAATATGATACCTACTATATAAAGAAAGAAGAAGAAAGAAAAGGAGGGAAAAAAGAACCTTTACATTTTGTTTGTAATGGCACACTAAGTGAGATAAATTAGATTGTTAGATAGTAAGGAAGTTACCCTTGAACGTTTGGTAACCACAAATCTAAAGCTTGCAATGACAGTAAGTACATACCTATCAATAATCACCTTAAATGTAAATGGTCTGAGTGAACCAATCAAAAGACATAGAGTCACTAAATGAATACAAAAGCAGATGGGGAGGGACTCAAGATGGCGACATGAGTAGGGCAGCAGAAATCTCCAAAAACCATATATATTGTTGAAAAAACAACAAATACAACTATCCCTAAATGAGTGACCAGAAGATACAGTACAACAGCCAGGCTACAACTACATCTGCAATAACTCAGCATCTCGCGAAAAGTGTAACATACAAAGCCATGACCCGGTGAGACCTGAGAACTGCCCACACCCCAGCTCAATGGTGGGAGGAAAAGAATCAGAGTGGGAACAGACCGGAAGCACAGGATTACTAAATAACCACTCGTGGTGATCTGCACCAGGAGCAAAGACACAAATTGCATGGTGTACTGGATATTAGAGGAACTAAAAAGTAAAATCCAAGATGGAGACTGCAAGCAGGTACCCAGATCTGGCTCTCATGGGGCAAAAAAAAAGCAGGTACATTTTAAAAGTCTTAAAGGGATAAGTGCTTAACAGCTGGATACAATTGTCCCAGCACACTCAGCCCAGCAGGCTGGGAATCTAAAGGAACTTCAGGCACCCTAACCCCCTGGAGGGTAACTCAACCACAAAGCCCCTCTTGGCAATAAGCAGCCTGCCATTCATTCCCCCAGCTGACGCTGCAAGCAAACAGGCTGACCGCCACAGCTGCAGAGCAGCCAGAGAATACCCTGCCCACAGGAACCACACAGAGTCTTCTCCTGGCACGCAGCTAACCGGAACAGACCCATAGGCTGCTGCTGGCGCAGAACTGCCTAGCACAGAGGAAGCTGGAGCAAAGTCCGGAAGGCACAAACAGATGCAGTTCTCACAGGAGAAGACACCTGGCACATCGGTGACACCCGCAGTGCCCTGGGCTATCCCAAGGGACACCCCACTCATGGCATCTAAGGAGATGATCCCAGAGACTGCTCCCAGTGTGTGGGAAAATGGCACAGGCAGCAGAAGCTGGAGCAAGGTCCAGAAGGCACAAAGGGGCACCGTGCTCACAGAAAAACAAACCCGGCATGTTTGTGACCCCCCTCAGTGCCCAAGGCTATCATGAGGGCTGCCCCACCCACAACAGCTCAGGAGAATTATCGCAGAGTTTGTTCTCCCAGCTGACCGATGCACCACCTGTCTGCAACCACTTCTATCACCATGAAAGGGCAGAAGAATCTGGTCCAGTCAAAAATCACTCAGACAACCCCAGAGAGAGGGCCCCGTGAGATACATATAACCAATCTTCCTATAAAAGAATTCAAAATAAAAGTCATAACCATGCTGATGGACCTGCAGAGAAATATGCAACAGCTAAGGCATGAAGTCTGGAGGGATACAACAGAAATGAAACAATCAAAAGAAGGTCCTAAGAGCAGACTGGAAGAGGTGCAAGAGACTGTTAATAGAATACAAATCAAAGAGCAGGAATACAGAGAAGCTAAGGCAGTGAGAGATAAAAGAATCTGCAGGAATGAAAGAATATTAGGAGAACTGTGTGACCAATCCAAATGGAATTACATTCACATTATAGGGGTACAAGAAGAAGAGAGAATAATTGCTGAAAACTTCCCCAAGCTGGGGAAGGAAACAGTCTCACAAACCATGGAAGCCCACAGATCTACCAACACAAGGGAACCAAGGAGGACAACACCAAAACATATAATAATTAAAATGCAAAGATCAAACAGGAGAGGGTATTAAAGGCATCCAGAGAAAGACAAAAGATTACCTACAAAGGAACACCCAACAGGCTATCATCAGACATCTCAACAGAAACCTTACAGGCCAGAAGAGAATGGCATGATATATTTAATGCAATGAAACAGGCAGCCTTGAAACAACAATAATGTATCGAACATGATTAACATTTAAATTTGAAGGATGGATTAAACAATTTCCAGACAAGCAAAAGTTGAGGGAATTTGCCTCCCACAAACCACTGCTACAGGATATTTTAAAGGGACTGCTCTAGATGGAAGGACTTCTAAAGCTAAATAGGTGTCACCAGAGAAAATAAAATCACAACAAAGAAAACAGACCAACTAAATACTATCTAAAGGCAAAAAATTAAATCAACTACTCACAAAAGCAGTGAAAGGAAACACAAAAGAGTACAGAATAAAACAACTAACATAAAGAATGGAGGAGGAGGAATAAGAAGGGAGAGAAATAAAGAATCACCAGACAGTGTTTATAACAGTTCAATAAGTGAGTTAAGTTAGACAGTAAGATAGTAAAGAAGCTAACCTTGAACCTTTGGTAACCACGAATCTAAAGCGTGCAATGGCAATAAGTACATATCTTTCAATAATCACCCTAAATGTAAATGGACTGAATGCATCAATCAAAAGACACAGAGTAATAGAATGGATAAAAAAGCAAGAACCGTCCATATGCTGCTTACAAGAGAGACACCTCAAACCCAAATATATACACAGACTAAAAGTCAAGGGATGGAAAAAGATACTTCAAGCCAACAGGGTGAAAAAAGCAGGTGTTGCAGTACTAGTATCAGACAAAATAGACTTCAAAACAAAGAAAGTAACAAGAGATAAAGAAAGACATTACATAATGATAAAGGGTTCAGTCCAACAAGAGGATATAACCATTATAAATATACCCAACACCCAACACAGGAGAACCAGCATATGTGAAACAAATACTAACAGAACTAAAGGAGGAAATAGAATGCAACTCATTCATTTTAGGAGACTTCAACACACCACTCACTCCAAAGGATAGATCCACCAGACAGAAAATAAATAAGGACACAGAGGCACTGAACAACACACTAGAACAGATGGACCTAACAGACATCTACAGAACTTGACACCCAAAAGCAGCAGGATACACATTTTTCCCAAGTGCACATGGAACATTTTCCAGAATAGACCACATACTAGGCCACAAACAGAGCCTCAGTAAATTTAAAAAGATTGACGTTCTACCAACCAACTTCTCAGATTATAAAGGTATAATATTAGAAATAAATTGTACAAAGAAATTAAAAAGGCTCACAAACACATGGAGGCTTAAAAACATGCTCCTAATTAATCAGTGGATCAATGACCAGATTAAAACAGAGAACAAGCAATATATGGAGACAAATGAAAACAGTAGCACAACAACCCAACTTCTGTGGGACACAGTGAAGGCAGTTCTAAGAGGAAAGTACATAGCAATCCAGGCCTATTTAAAGAATGAAGAACAAACCCAAATGAATAGTCTAAATTCACAATTATAAAAACTGGAAAAAGAAGAACAAATGAGGCCCAAAGTGGGTAGAAGGAGAGACATAACAAAGATCAGAGAAGAAATAAATAAAATTGAGAAGAATACAATAGAAAAACTAAATGAAACTAAGAGCTGGTTCTTTGAGAGAATAAACAAAATAGATAAACCCCTAGCCAGACTTATTAAGAGAAAAAGAGAATCTACACTCACAAACAGAATCAGAAATGAGGAAGGAAAATCATGATGGACAGCACAGAAATGCAAAGAATTATTAGAGAATACTATGAATATCTATATGCCAGCAAACTGGATAATGTAGAAGAAATGGACAACTTTCTATAAAAATACAACCTTCAAAGGCTGACCCAGGAAGAAACAGAAAATCTAAACAGACCAATTACCAGCAACAAAATTGAATCAGTAATCAAAAAACTATCCAAGAACAAAAACCCAGGCCAGATGGATTCACCACTGAATTTTATCAGACATTTAGAAAAGACATAATACCCATTTTCCTTAAAGTTTTCCAAAAAATAGAAGAGGAGGGAATACTCCCAAACTCATTCTATGAAGCCAACATCACCCTAATACCAAAATCAGGCAAAGATCCCACAAAAAAAGAAAATTACAGACCAATGTCCCTGATGAACATAGATGCCAAAATGCTCAACAAAATATTAGCAAAATGAATTCAAAAATACATCAAGAAGATCATATACCATGATCAAGTGGTATTCATCTCAGGGATGCAAGGATGGTACAACATTCAAAAATCCATCAACATCATCCACCACATCAACAAAAAGGACAAAAATCACATGATCATCTCCACAGATGCTGAAAAAGCATTCAACAAAATTCAAAACCCGTTCATGATAAAATCTCTCAACATAATGGGTATAGAGGGCAAGAACTTCAACATAAAAAAGGCCATATATGACAAACACACAGCCAACATAATACTTAACAGTGAGAAGCTGAAAGTTTATCCCCTAAGATCAGGAACAAGACAAGGATGCACACATCTCCCCACTTTTATTCAACATAGTACAAGACATCCTAGCCATGGCAATCAAGCAAAACAAAGAAATACAAGGCATCCAGATTAGTAAAGAAGCAGTCAAACTGTCACTATTTGCAGATGACATGATATATTACATTAAAAACCTCTAAAGACTCCACTGCAAACAATGACTAATTTATCTGAATTCAGCAAAGTTGCAGGATACAAAATTAATACATAGAAATCTGTTGTATTCCTATACACTAACGATGAACAAGCAGAAAGAGAAATGAGGAAAACAATTCCATTCACAACTGCATCAAAAAGAATAAAATATCCAGAAATAATCCTAACCAATGAAGTGAAAGACCTATACCCTGAAAACTACAAGAAACTCTTACAAGAAATTAAACAGGACACTAACAAATGGAAATTCATCCCATGCTCTTGGCTAGGAAGAATTAATATTGTCAAAATGGCCATCCTGCCTAAAGCAATATACAGATTCAATGTAATCCCTATCACAATACTGACAACATTCTTCAATGAACTGGAATAAACAGTTCTAAAATTCATATGGAACCACAAAAGACGCCGAATAGCCATCGCAATCCCAAGAAGGAAGAATAAAGCAGGGGAGGACCTTGCTCCCCAACTTCAAGCTCTACTACAAAGCCACATTAATCAAGAAAATTTGGTACTGGCACAAGAACAGACCCATAGACATGTGGAACAGAACAGAGAGTCTCAATATTAACCCAATATATATATAGTCAATTAATATACAATACAGGAGTCATGGATATACAATGGGGAAATAATATCCTCTCAAAAGCTGGTGTCGGGAAAACTGGGCAGCTACAAGTAAGAGAATGAGACTAGATCACTGTCTAACCCCGTACACAAAAGTAAATTCAAAATGGATCAAAGACCTGAATGTAAGTCATGAAACCATAAAACTCTTTGGAAAAAACAAGAGGCAAAAATCTCTTGGACATAAACATGAGCAACTTCTTCATGAACATATCTCCCCAGGCAAGGAAAACAAAAGCAAAAATGAACAAGTGGGACTATATCAAGCTGAAAAGCTTCTATACAGCAAAGGACACCATCAACAGAATAAAAAGTCATCCTACAGTAAGGGAGAATATATTCATAAATGAAATATCTGATAAAAAGTTGACATCCAAAATATATAAAGAGCTCATGCACCTCAACAAACAAGAAGCAAATAATCCAATTAAAAAATGGACAGAGGATATGAACAGACACTTCTCCAAAAAAGAAATTCAGATGGCCAACAGGCACATGAAAAGATGCTCCACATTGCTAATCATCAGAGAAATGCAAATTAAAACCACAATGAGATATCACCTCATGCCAGTTAAGATGGCCATCATAGGAAAGAATAGGAACAACAAGTGCTGGTGAGGATGTGGAGAAAGGAGAACCCTCCTACACTGCTGGTGGGAATGTAAACTACTTCAACCATTGTGGAAAGCAATGTGGAGGTTCCACGAAAAACTAAAAATAGAAAGACCATTTGCCCCAGGAATTCCACCCCTAAGAATTTACCCAAAAAAAACAACTTCTCAGATTCAAAGACTTATGCACCCTTATGTTTATCGCAGCACTGTTTACAATATCCGAGATATGAAAGCAACCTAAGTGTCCATCAGTAGATGAATGGATAAAGAAGACATAGTACATATAGTACATATATATAATGGAATACTATTCAGCCTTAAGAAAACAACAAATCCTAGCATTTGCAACAACATGGGTGGAGTTAGAGGGTATTATGCTCAATGAAATGAGTCAGGCAGAGAAAGACAAATACCAAATGATTTCCCTCATTTGTGGAGTATAACAATGAAGCAAAACTGAAGGAAAAAAATAGCAGTAGACTCACAGACTCCAAGAAGGGCCTAGTGGTTACCAAAGGGGAGGGGTAGGGGATGGTAGGTGGAGAAGGAGGGAGAAGGGGATTGTGGGGTATCATGATTGGTGCACATGGTGTGTGGGGGGTCATGGGGAAGACAGTGTATCTCAGAGAGGACCAACAAGGACTCTGTGGCATCCTACTACACTAATGGACAGTGACTGCCTTGTGGTATGGGGGGGACTCAATAATAAGGGTGAATGTAATAACCCCATTGTTTTTCTTGTGAAACCATCATGAGAGTGTATATCAATGATACCTTAATTTAAAAATGTAATAGCAAAAGACAAACTCTGGGGTAATTCTTGTTTATAACTAATTTTTTCACTCACATCAACTGGAAATTGATGTCAAATTCTTATAATCATCAAGGCAATAAAATGTACCCCCCCCAAAAAAAAACAAGAGAGATCCTCACTCCTTTGGGTAAATTAACTGTTTAACTGTTTATAGGAGCTTGAAAGAGACGATCTTTTTTTTTTTTTTTGAGAGGGCATCTCTCATATTTATTGATCAAATGGTTGTTAACGACAATAATATTCTGTATAGGGGGGTCAATGCTCAATGCACAATCATTAATCCATCTCAAGCCTAGTTCTCATCAGTCTCCAATCTTCTGAAGCATAACGAACAAGTTCTTACATAGTGAACGAATTCTTACATAGTGAATAAGTTCTTACATGGTGAACAGTACAAGGGCATTCATCACAGAAACTTTCCGTTCTGATCACGCATTATGAACTATAAACAATCAGGTCAAATATGAATATTCGTTTGATTTTTATACTTGATTTATATGTGGATCCCACATTTCTCCCTTTATTATTATGATTATTTTTATTTTTAATAAACTGCTGAAGCAGTACGTAGATGCAAGAGAAAGTCAGAAAACATACTTTAGTGTTATAAGAGAGCAATTGTAGATGATCGGGTGTGTGCCTGTAGACTATGGGCTAATCCGAGCTAGACAAGGGCAACAAAAGATCCACAAATGCAGAAGCTTTCTCTCAACACAGGGGGGGGCAGTAAGGTTCTAAGCTTCACCACTGTTGTTCCCCAATTTCTCACCTGATGGCCCCCCTGCAACTGTGCCTGTCTTAGGTTGTTCCTCCCTTGAGGAATCTTACCCGGAAAGAGACAATCTTTTAAATTCCTTTTCTTCCCCATGAAAGCCATGAAATATATCTAACGGAAAAAATTATAGCAAAAGGACAGAGGCTGAATGGATCTGGTAACTGAAGAAATAGCTGGAAAAATGAAAAGGAGACAAGCTAGAGGAAAAGAAAGAGGAAATACAAAAAAGAAGGAAAGAAAAAGACAGGACTAGAAAGACTCAAGGTGGAAAACATGAGAGAAAATTCCCTAACTTGGAATACGATTTTACATGCTCTAAACATGGAACAAATTCTGGATTTGAGCAGGAAAACATCTGCTGGGAGGAAAAATTCCATCCCCAACACCGTGGGAAGGATGGGAAAGGGAGAAAATAATGAAGAATGACCCAATCCTCACCACAGGAGAAACTGAAAACAGGATTTATTGTGTTTTTATGAAAGACAGGCCCTATCAGGAAGAGACTATGTGAGGCCAGGCTCAGAGAGCCAGATAGGCCCCTAGGTTCAGGAAGGAGCAAAGAGCCTAACATGGACTCAAGGCTGTGAGATTCCAAAAGAAAGGAAATTCCAATGCTTTGACCAGAAGAAAGGTGGAGTCTTTGCCCACTTCACAGTTCCATAACTGCCCCTGTCTTCTGCCATTTTCTTTCACCCTTCAGTCAGAAGAGATGTGAGCAGGATATATACAAACATCTCAGCATTGAGTGAATCCATTCTTGAAGGCTTCTCCCACCTGCCCAACCTCTGGGGCTTGCTCTTCTCTCTTTTTCTTGTTATCTACCTGCTCACCATGGCAGGCAATCTCCTCATTGTGGAGCTTGTCTCAGTTGATGCCACCCTCCAGTCCCCCATGCACTTCTTCCTTTGAATCCTCTCAGCTCTGGAGATTGGCTACACATCTGTCACTGTCCCTTTGCTGCTTCACCAACTCCTCACTTGTCAACTCCACATTCCTTACTCTGGCTGTGCTCTCCAGATGTTCTTCTTTTCTGTTTTTGTGCCACTGAGAGTTGCCTCCTGGAAGCCATGGCCTATGACCATTGTGCAGCCATTTGTGAACCCCTTCACAACCCCCTTCTGCTAAGCCATCAGGTGTGTCTATGCCTAGCTGGGTCAGCATGCGCCTGTGGAGCAACGGGGCCTGGGCCCATACCTCTGTCATCTTCTCCTTGCCCATTGTGTGCCATCTCACACTTCTGTGAGATCCAGGCCACTGTGAAGCTGTTATGTAGAGACACCTCACTCAACGAACTGCAGATAGTCCTGGCTGCTGGCCTCATGATCTTGATCGGCCTCATCCTGGGCTCCTATGGCTGTGTCCTGACTACTATCTTCTAGATCCCATCTGCTGCTGGCAACCACAAGGCCTTCTTCATCTGCTCCTCCCACCTGGTGTGGTTTATCTCTTCTATCTACATCCTTTTATCTTTATCATCTTTCTTAATCTTTATCCTTACTTTATCTTTGTCTACATCAGAACTAAGGCCAGCTACGATCCAGTCACTGGCCCTCTGCTGTCTGTCTTCTATGCCGTGGTCACCCCCATCCTCAATCCCATCATCTATAGCCTGCAGAACACTAATGTCAAGGCTGCCCTAAAGAGAACAATCCAGAAAATTAGGCTCACAGAGATTTGACAAGGGGGTAATTGATGACTGCCACTCCTAGACAGCCCCAAGTCACCAAAGATCCAAGGGAAAAGATCAACCTGTCAAGACAGCTACCTTGGAAAAACTGTCGAAGAAAAACCCCTACTCAGACCCCCACAATACATAACACTCTATTCTGCCTTCTTTTGAAAGAAACAAGAAATTCAGGATGGAGGATTTTTACAAGCAGAGCAAGTTGACAACTAGGGAAATTTTATAAAATATCTCCTTCACCAGACTATCAGGGTAATACAATTTTCAGTCACAGCAATGATCCTTCAGATGTTATTTGACAGTTGAAAGGAAAGGAGCAACACATAGCAGTAATTCACCGGAGAGTTCCGCTTTATTAGGGAAAGGTGCTGGGTTATATAGGAAGGGGCATGAATTGATTGAGGTGTCACTTCTATGGGGCTGGTGGCTGTTGGCTAGGTGCTGGGATTGGGATGGGGGCGAGAGGTGATTGGGCTTCAGGTGGCACCAGCGGGAACTGAGGACCCCGAAGAGAAGCCGGAAGTTTGCCATCTTACTGGTGGGGACCCTTCAACAGTCATACGTCCTAGATAAGGCATTTGTTTCCTGGGTGGAACTGTTGGTTAGTACATTAGCACATATAATTATACCTAATTAAATCCATCACGCGGCAAAAAGCAAAGTCCTGAAGAAGTGAAAAGGTGACAGAAAAGTTTCAATGAAGGTGAGTTCTGATGGGAACCAGTATGACACAGTGGTTAAAAGAACAGATTTTAATATGACTTTAATTCAAGTCTTAATTCTTTCAACTGACCTACTGTGTGATCACAGGAGAATGATATAATCTTCTTGAACTTTAATTTCCTTATTCATAAAGTTAGAAAATTAATAGCCTATTTCTTGGATTTTGTGAGGATTTATAGAATTGTAAATCAAGCTTGATATCTGGCACAAAACAGTGACTTGATAAATGTTTTTATTAGAGTCAGACAGGTCATCCTCCTTGAGGATAAAGCTACCCCACATTGGGTTCCTTTGTTGGGAGAGAGAAAGGTATTCTTGGAATGTCAATGACATTGGGAACCAAGAGATCCAAAGGAGAATGGAGGAAGAGACTTCACACACCACTGTCCCAGGAAACTGCCACCCAGCACAGATATAAACCAAGGATAACATGGACACTAAGGACCAAATACAGTGGCAAAGCACAGGGAGTCAAAGACAGGCAGAACAAAGAAATGAGATGAGCCAAGTTGAGACAGGGACCATGGGCTTAGACAGAATAGGGTGAGGGCCTCCGGAAAAATCAAGGCAAGATATTTACAGTCAAAGCAATGTAACAATGTAAAGTCACTATTGAAATCTGTGTTCAGCATTATGCAAAGTCAAGGTCACAGTAATTCTCCAGGGTAAAGATACTAGACTAGGAATATAGACATCTACAGTGAGATCAGTTAAAGGTCAAAAGGCAACTTGGCCTGGAATGTTTGAGTGTTCCGCAAGGGTATCTCAGCATAACCTGTGACTTCACTGTAAACAGCCCTAGCAAACAGACAACGACCCAGCCCACCTTGAGGGCAGGCAGGTGGTACAAGTCCACACCCTAAGTCCTCAATTCTCAAAAACCCTCAACTGCCTATAAATCCCCTAGACAACACACCACCCCGGGCTCTCTTGTCCCCTCCTGGAGCTCTTTCCTCTCACTTTATTTCTAAATAAAAGCCTCTCCCTGACTCTCCTATCTTGGGTGTTTGTGAATCTCTTCTTCGCAAACAAGAACCCTGGCATCAAAGCTAATCAAAAAAGATGTCCCAGAGGAGCAAGTATTTGCTAATAATTAAAAATACAATCCACATCCTTTTTCTTATTCCCAACACTGTATTCAGTTTTACAAGCATTTCTTGGCCCTCCATGTGCCCATTGCTCTGCTCAACACTGTAATGAATACCAAGTAAACACAGAGTAGTGATTTTGCCCAGATGGTGCTTGCTCTCTGGTTAGGGAGATAACACTGATTCTCATGGAACTGTCAGAAACCAATGCAATAAGTGTTTTGAATACTTCCCTACTTTGCATTGGTTAGTGTAAAACACTAAGGTGAGGAGACAATAATTGGTTACACCCTAACACTCCATCCAACAGAGGAGCAATATGGTCCTCTCTGGAGTCCTGTGAACTGTCTGGCTCCTTGATATTCAAGGGGAATTCAGTCCAGTCCTTAACATATTTTACAGCCTATATATTTATCAAATGAGCAAAATCTCAACCCTACTGTTTATCAAGACCTCATTGAGAGTGAAATTTAAGAAGGGTTGTCTAAAGGATTGGTAATACAGTTTACCTTTTGATAATCTAACTTTATCGTCAGATTAAAGCAGACCAGCAGACAGCTGCACATCTACAGTGCATTATCTTCCACCTCCTACTTATCTCTACCCACCCCTGAATATCCTTTACACAACTGTTCCTCATAAATGGTGTGTTGGTATTCTACCATTGGTTTACATCAAGGAAGATTACAAGCAACATTATGAAATTTTCAGAGGAAAAATTTCTCTCACATCTCAGTGCTAGGAATAACTGTACTTCTGTCACAAAAGCAATAACTTTTTCCTAAGTTTTAAGAGAGCATAACTGACATATAATAAATCAAATATATTTGTGTACAAGTTGATAAGTCAAGCTCTCACCACACCCATATGAATATATCCAAGCCCTGCAAGTTTCCTCATTCCCCAATGTAATTTCTCCCATTCACCCCTTCCTGGATTCTCCATTCCCAAGCAAACTCTGATCAGCTTTCTGTGACTGTAGTTCGACTTTCTAGTTTTATATAAATGGAATCACAAAGTATGCACACTCTTTTTGGTCTGACTTTATTTTGAGATTCATCCATATCGTGCGTATCAGCAGCTCATTCCATTTTTTCTGCTGAGTGGTATTCCATTGTATGAATGTATCACAGCTGTTTATCCATTAATCTATTGATGGGAATTTGGGTTGTTTCCAGGTTTTGGTATTACAAATAAAGTTGCTATTAACATTTCTGTACAAATCTTTGTATGCTTCCATTTCTCTTGGATAAATATTTAGATGTGGTATGGCTGGATCATATGAAAAGTGTATGTTTAACTAAAGAAACTGCCCATTTCCCCCTCTTTGCAATGACAACTAGTAAGCTTACAGACAAATTTGTAACTCATTTCCAGGAAATACACATTTCCTCACTGTATGCTTTTGCCAATATTTGCCTGATTTCTGATTTCACCTTATTTTTCCTATTCTACAATTTTCTTTGTTCAGTCTACTTCATCCTTACTTTGTGCATATTATGTGAGTTATATTAAAATCTTTCTGGACCAAAGCCTAGAGCCATTAGCATAGAAAAACAGCAGGGGGGCAGACTGCCAAATAGGAAAAGCCCTGGGCTAAGACCCAAGACCTGGGTTATCATCTCCACTCTGCTACTACAGACTTACATGGCCTGGCGCAAACTCCTTTCATCTCCCTGGTTTTCAAGTTCATCAATAAGCAGTAGAGCTGAACCAAATGAGCTCCACACTGGGTTCAGTTTCACTATTCTATACCTGCTTCCCTAAGGACTTTCTGCTTCTTGTGACTGATTCTCTTATAAAGAATGAAAAAGACTGAGGTGAATGTTCCTTCTCCAACATCACCAAGAGGTGATATTGAACTACATTAATCCTGGCAAAATTTAAACATGTTCACTTGGTTGCACAGCAAGCACTAGTCAAAATAGGCAGCAATTTCTAACTTCAGAACTATGATCCTAGATCTAAAAGAAGTCAAGAAAACAAGTTTGTTTCTTTTATTCACATAGAGGTTTCCAGTACAGAGCAGAAATGCTTGTGTTCATGATAAAGGAGAAAGACACAGAGAAGAGCCAGTTACTGGAGGGATAACTGGGTGGCCGGTATCCACCTTTCCCCAAGGCAGAGGAACCAAAATATCAAATGACACCTGCTCCCAAGATCCAGCATGCTTTCTGCCCCATCTCTTCTGGTCTATGTGCATTTTATCTGTGAGCTGTATAGAAGCAGCTAGCATCTAATCCAGACCATGTCATCTGAGGCTGCAGGGTCTCACACAGGGCTGTCAGCTCCCTGTCTGGGTAAGATCTCCAAAAGAATGGAAAGATTCATCAGCATCTATGCTGTTATTAAAAGGCAGTCCCTAACAACAGGGTGGGATTGCAAACCTGAAATGCACTATTAAAGACTCAAAAGCTCTTCCATTTGGATCACAGATAACTTTTTACTTCAGTTAAGGACTTTCTGCTTCTTGTGACTGATTCTCTTATAAAGAATGAAAAAGACTGAGGTGAATGTTCCTTCTCCAACATCACCAAGAGGTGATATTGAACTACATTAATCCTGGCAAAATTTAAACATGTTCACTTGGTTGCACAGCAAGCACTAGTCAAAATAGGCAGCAATTTCTAACTTCAGAACTATGATCCTAGATCTAAAAGAAGTCAAGAAAACAAGTTTGTTTCTTTTATTCACATAGAGATTTCCAGTACAGAGCAGAAATGCTTGTGTTCATGATAAAGGAGAAAGACACAGAGAAGAGCCAGTTACTGGAGGGATAACTGGGTGGCCGGTATCCACCTTTCCCCAAGGCAGAGGAACCAAAATATCAAATGACACCTGCTCCCAAGATCCAGCATGCTTTCTGCCCCATCTCTTCTGGTCTATGTGCATTTTATCTGTGAGCTGTATAGAAGCAGCTAGCATCTAATCCAGACCATGTCATCTGAGGCTGCAGGGTCTCACACAGGGCTGTCAGCTCCCTGTCTGGGTAAGATCTCCAAAAGAATGGAAAGATTCATCAGCATCTATGCTGTTATTAAAAGGCAGTCCCTAACAACAGGGTGGGATTGCAAACCTGAAATGCACTATTAAAGACTCAAAAGCTCTTCCATTTGGATCACAGATAACTTTTTACTTCAGGAATTTCTGAGAAAGTGCAGTACCTGAGTCATTTATCATTTA